TTAGAGTTCATGTTGCGAAAACAATCAGCTACCTCAGTAGAAGTCTTCGTACGTAGGACATAAACTTCAGGCCAGTGACTGAACTGACATAGCACCGTTAGGAGTAGGACATGCCCTCTCGGACTCGAAATTGATACCGTGTCTGCCGCGACCGTGTGCCATGGTCCAGGTGGCACAGGTCTCTGGACTCCTTGCTGCTTCCAGTTTTGTCGTAGCTGTTGTTGGGTGCAGCCCTTGCAGTTAGCTATATGGTCGCAGACAGCTCGGGATAGACTTGGGAACCAATAGTTCCGTTTCACCGCCTCTATGACTCGATGTATGCCAATGTGAGAGCATCCCTGGGGCTCATGATAGTGTGAGAGAACTCTTGTGACCAGTGATGAGGGAAGTAGGTCTGCATATGAGCAGGTATCACACGGGGCCTTCTGCTGCAGTTTGGTCAACTTTGCTCGTGGCGTAGCTATCTTCTCCCCATGATCTACAAAATCTAGGCCTAGGACGCGAGCGTCTCCTTCTGTGATATCCTGACGCTTGGTAGGCTTCAAGGAAAGGTCATAGTCTGCACATAGCTCACCAAGATCTTGTTCAACTTGGGGGCGTGAAAGATCGGAGTATAATAGTAGGTCATCCATAAACGAGTTGAGCTGGAATTCACAGGTCATATTTATATGTTTTTGCAAAAGCCATTGTAGGACGCACTCCAAGCATCGTGGGCAGTGAGAAGGTCCATACGGTAGGCACCAAAATTCATACAGAGTGGGATTCTCGTCGAACGGGGTTATGTTGACAGTATATAGAGAACGATTACTAGAGAGCACCCAGAGATGCATATATGCATCTCGAACATCATTAACCACCAACCGCTTGAAGCATCGTGCCTTTTCAATGAGCACTGCTATCAGACTCTGAGAAAACGGTGATTTCCGGCCAAAGGCTCGCCGCAGATGCCGGTTCAAGTGGAGGAAGGTGAACACGGGTCTATAACGCCTCGAGTCTCCACCGACAATATACCAGTTTGTGGTTGAAGATGAAGCTCTCAACTCAGCTGGTCGTAGTCGGCCTTCCTCTATCCACTGATCAAAGCATCTTTTTGCGGCTTCACGGGCTGCCGAGTCGGCCTTTTTGAGAGCTGGATGTTGTCTCAGACCTCCTAGCTGCTCAGCTCGACTAGGCCACTTCACCAGAGTTGGGTTGATACCCACGTAGAACCGAAACTTAGAGTCGACAGCAGTGTCACCATCAGGCTTGGCAGACACAATATATATATCATTGTTGTCTAGAACCACCTCATCCACTGACCAACCATCCGGTAGAGCCTTCCAAGTATCTTGTTCAACCTGTTGGACATTAGCTGTAGCTACCACCGGGTACAGTGTCGACAGCTTCGGTTTGGCGTTAAAGCTGATAGTGAGCTTACTTGCTGTCAACAAGTCTCTGCCAAGGATAACCGGATAGATGAGACTAGACGAAGCAATGTAGCACTTCTGCTTGACCGTGGTATCTCCAATTTGGATCGATAGTATCACTGATCCGATAGTCGAGAGGGACCCTTTTGTCGCTGTTGTGCATCTCGGAGAATCTGACGTATCAACTTCAATGCTCACTGGTAAGCTTGCCACTGGCAAGTTGCCAGCGTGGGTACATCAATGAGGGATACGCTCGATCCACTATCGATGAGACCTACGGCTTTGATCACCGAGTGAGATACATGAAATTCGACCTCTACCGTGCAGGAGTCGGAAATAGGTCTTGAAGGACAACCGGTTGACTGGATAGATACGGCTTGAATAGTGGGTCCACATGACTGTGTAGCCGAAGCGCAGTCACGAGCTTTGGTTCGACATTGATCTTCAGTATGATTCTTCTTCAGACAGTAGGTACAGAATACCGAAGGTCGATCTATATTAGCTTTGTCAGATAGGGGGCCTTCTTGATATCGTAACTTCTTCCTCGGAATAGCTTCACTTTTGTCACGCATCTTTTTGAAGCAGTCAGTTTCCACATGACCGGGTCTTCCACAATAATCGCACCTCCTAGTTGCCTCCCTAATGGCATTCACCAGGTGAGGTAGCCAAGACGGTGTAGGATCAACCTGTGTAGTAGAAGTAGGTGAGACCGTTTCCGCTTGAAAAGCCGAATAGTTGACAGAGTCACCGTCCACAATTGAACCACCGCCTTCATATGCGCCTATAGGAGAGCTCATTGTCTGCTCTTCCACTGGTCGTAGGGCCGATACTTCTCCAGCAACTTCATGTACCGCCTCAGGGAAGAAGTCAGAGAGTATAAACTGAGCCTTCTCCAGAGCAGCTTGCAACGTTTCAGGATTGGCATTTCTCACCTTTCTAGCTGAGGCGGATGAGTGCCCTCGTAACCCACGTATAAAAGCTGTCAGAATTACCGGCTTGAGCTGATCAGAAGACATATCTAGATATGCTCTATGAGCAAGCCTTTTTATGTCATTCTGATAGGTCAATAGGGTCTCAGTACTCGTCGATAAAGCTCTTCACTACTCTGCATTTGCGAGGCTACGTTCAGCTTCTTAGTCAGATTAGTAGTTAAATGGGGCATAGTATCCTTCTCACCAGGAGCCAACTCATCGTATAATATCCAAGCGTCTCCTCTCAATAAGGGGGGTAGATGACGTAGTTGAGCGTTCTCATCTTACTCATTAGCTGTCGCACAGGCCTTGAACTTGTGAACCCGCTGTTCAAAATCGAGCACGCTGGTGAGGGGGTCGAAACTCTCTGGGAGAGCAAAGTAAAGACTCGGATCCATCTTCTTGAACAAGGAGCTGCTACTGCAGTATTCTACTCAACGACTAGAGCAGAATGGGATAGATAGAAAAGGCAGATATATACAGATGAGTTAGAAGCGATACATTAGCTAAGGGACAAGGCTATGTAGCTATTTACTGAAGATTGTGTATTGGGACAGTGCACTTGCTTTGGAGGATGTGGTATGACTAATTGAAACAGACTCGCACAACTGATGTACTCGCTCTCCGTCTCCGTGCCTGTTTCCGATTTTATTTTATCCTCTTCATCTCCGTGCCTATGGCGGGAAAGCGATGTCGCAAGACGAAAGTCGACTATCGTCGCCACTAGAGAGCTCGCAAGTTGGAGGGGTGTCCCATCGCGTTGGCAAAACTTCGCGAGCTGCGCTGGATAGAAAACACTCCAGAGGGAGAGATGACAGCTAACAACTCTATGACAGGAGCGGTAAACTCGACGCAAAGTTATTAGATAACTTTCCCGGGATAAATAACGGCCAACTCGATGGATCATCTTCAAGCTGCACCCAACCGCAAGCACTCCTTTGAAACGGGCTTAACCTTACCGTTGTCTCTCGAAACAGCCACCGGAATTCTCTCTCTGGGTCCCCATAAGATCATCCGCCGCTGGAGACTCGCCATGGAAGCGGCCGGCAGCACTGAGAGTAGCAACCACCGATTTGCAAGCCTCTATCCATCCCGACGTTGCGAAGACTTCCGACAACCCGAACTTAGACCTTTTGAGGGAGCTCATACAGTTGAGTAGATCACCAGAGTAGCGTACCCAATGAAATGAGTGATCACAATTTGGACGCTGGGTCGAGAAATGCTGCTTCTGGTTCCCGTCCTGGTACTGGCATGTCGAGTTCTCGTTTGGGTAGCAGTGCTACGTCCAGCAAACTACAGCGTTTGGCTATTTACAAGGCTATTAGTTTGGTCCTGGTCGAACAGTTGCGTACGTCCGATTCAGACCGCGTC